TGTGTAATAACCGTGTTGCAAATTCATTCTGCATAAAAAATTGCCAAATCTTTCTTATTCCCTCGTCGCTAAAAAATATCGATTCCTTTTTAAGAGAATTTTTAAAGAGATAGATCTTAATATTGGATGAGTGCATAAGTTCGTGCCCGGTTTCAAGTGCAAGCTAAAATGAAATTTTTTGAAGAAAGCGCTTTTATTAATCAATTATGTATTCGCCATCATGTTCGGCAATCCGCTCTTAACGTTCAACCAATTTACGGATGCCTGATTCATAGAAATCGCGCGGTTTCTCGTTGAAAAAGGTGTCAAGGTGGTTTTTGACGTCTTCCACATTTTTAAATTTNTATGCTTGATCTACAGATCGGACTGTCACCTTTCCAACGATATATAATATGTATATATTTCTTTCACGAGCGCCACTCTCAAACGATCCGAACGGCATCCAGCGGAATCGGGCACGAACTTATGCACTCATCCAATACAATAAATTATTTCTGCGAGATTTGAAAAGCTATTCAAAATATTTTTTGCAGTATTCGCACATTTTATATTTTGCAAATGTTTGCTTTTGAATTTTTTATATGTAGATTATTCAGTAATTTGCTTATACAAATTTGCGTTTCAAATGATTACAAGGAATGTTGTTTTTAATTCGATTTGAGACGTTCAATTTGCATTTGACCTTCAGTTTCGATTTTATTTGAATGACTTTCCATTGTCCGGAATTGGAAACTCTCTCCAAAATCAATATCAATGCATTTTTTAACTTTATAACGAGTCGGAATGGAGGAATGCTCACTTTTATTAAATTTGTATAAATTACCAAATTTTGAAATTCAATATTGATATTCACATACATACTCGTACTTCATCGTCCGCATAGAATTTTTGTCAATTTCAATATCACAAGCCAAACAGCCATTCTTCGACGATGACCAAAACTTTTGGCATTTTAATTTTAATTTAATATTCAACCGGACAATGGTGTGCAGAACTGATGTCATACAGAAAACAGCAGCCTGCTGCAGGTTGAATACAAATAAAGTGTGAAAATGAGAACATAAAGGCAAGCCAAACAAACAAATACAACAATGGAAAGGGAACAAATAACACATGTTGTTGTGATATCATAGAAAAACATTATAGAAAAGTTCAACACGTGCGATATAAGATAAGCACTCGTGCACACACACATACCCAACAGGGAAAGATACTAGTCATCAACAAGAATCCAAGTAGTTGCATTTTCACACTAACTAGTTTATCTTCCATAGTTTTCTTATGTACTGTGTTTTATTATGCGTCCTGATAATAAACATCAGTCTTATACTAAATAAATACTAGTTCATTTAGTCATACTGAATTTTTACTGGTAGGAAATTAAAATGAAAACAAGAAAGCGGAATCTGTCTTCGAACATGCCGAAGTCTTAATACCTTTCTTCAAATTCAATTTAGGGTTTTTTTAGGGTCAATACTTATTTAAATCCTTCGCTGTGTCTCATTTTCTTGTCGACATTTTAGCTTCATAGTGATAATAAAATATAGATAGTTCAAATCTGAATTGATCGGTGTCAGATCCACTACTTGAGAAGACAAGAATCTAATGCAAATTCAACCATTAATAAATCCGCTAAATTTCAAGTGAATTAAATTATAAATAGGACGTATAAATCGGTCCCTGGTTCACTTCACGGAGAAAAGTCTTTGGTAACGACCCCAATATGAGGAAAAAAATTAAAATTTTTTTTTAACAATTTAAATATAGAAATTAACCATAATTATTCTCAGAGTTAGTTTTATTCTCACTAGGCTTCAGTAGTTTTTTTTTGCTGTACAATTCAATGAAATGACTATAGTCAAATGCACACACGCGCACTCCTTCGTTTAAAGTTTGAGCTTAAGTCAACGCATGATACCATCTATCAGGCTGCCCCTCGGCAGGGAATATCAACCCCTCCGAGTATATTTCGATCATAAAATAAAGGCTCCACGTAAAAAACTATCAGCCGTTCGGATCCGGCTTAGTATAAATTGTAGGTCTCTCCATTTGATGGAAGCACATCAAGACGCAAAACCACAAATTAGAGAAGGAGCTCGACGAAAAATCGCTTCAGCGGTTACAAAGCGCTTATTATATAATTATACATATGCTATATCCTGCAACTTCCGACAAATTATTGGTGTAAAAACATCATCAAAAAATCAATGATCAAAGAAACAGGTTTGGTAGAGAAGTCTCAAAAACTGTGGGACTACTTATAAACTGCTAAATCAACTCAGGTTATTATTCTGACCAGATCGATGGGTCTATTTCTTTCCTTGCTGGTCCCCACTTACTTCGGAACAGAGCAAATTTACCATTCCATGGACTTGTAATATATAAAAATAGTCTTGCTTCACCGAGACTCGAGCGATTTAAGCAACTCCCGACTGTCCTTGCGATGTTACCTGAATGATTTCGCCTTTAAAATAATGGTTTTCAACTAGAATTTTGCATACTAGTTTGACTTCTCACAGCAGGGTAAATACAATGTTATGTATTGCTCTATGTACATACACACAAAAATGCCATCCTTTGTAATCTAAACATAATATCCTGCTGTTGTGGCCAACTTTTTAGTTATTTCGACATTTGCTGCATATTATTTTTACGCTGCAACGGCCTTTGGTTGACATGAAAACAGCAGCAGCAACAACAACAGAACAATAACAACAATAATTTTTGCATGTAATATAGGGTTTTGAAATGAAAACAAAATGGAAATGAGAGTGAAAAAAGTTACCTAGATGGGCAAGTAGCCAACAAAATATTGTATGTGTGTGTGACGCTAAGATTGTTTCATTGGCTAATGCTACTAGAAAAGATGAAAAAAAGACCCCATATATTGGGTTGTCCAAAAAGTAATTGTGGATTTTTCATATAGTCGGCGTTGACAAATTTTTTCAACGGCTTGTGACTCTGTAATTGCATTCTTTCTTCTGTCAGTTATCAGCTGTTACTTTTAGCTTGCTTTAGAAAAAAAGTGCAGCAGGTTGCCAAAAAGTTACGAGATGTGTATGGTGA